TACATGTTTTACCCAGTAGCAACATTACATGTTTTACCCAGTAGCAACATTACATGTTTTACCCAATAGCAACATTACATGTTTTACCCAATAGCAACATTACATGTTTTACCCAGTAGCAACATTACATGTTCTACCCAATAGCACCATTACATGTTCTACCCAGTAGCAACATTACATGTTCTACCCAATAGCACCATTACATGTTCTACCCAATAGCAACATTACATGTTCTACCCAGTAGCAACATTACATGTTTTACCCAGTAGCAACATTACATGTTTTACCCAGTAGCAACATTATCTACCCAGTAGCAACAATACATGTTCTACCCAGTAGCAACATTACATGTTCTACACAGTAGCATTATTACATGTTCTACCCAGTAGCAACATTATCTACCCAGTAGCAACATTACATGTTCTACCCAGTAGCAACATTACATGTTCTACCCAGTAGCAACATTACATGTTCTACACAGTAGCATTATTACATGTTCTACCCAGTAGCAACATTATCTACCCAGTAGCAACATTACATGTTCTACCCAGTAGCAACATTACATGTTCTACCCAGTAGCAACATTACATGTTCTACACAGTAGCAACATTACATGTTCTACCCAGTAGCAACATTACATGTTCTACACAGTAGCAACATTACATGTTTTACCCAGTAGCAACATTACATGTTCTACCCAGTAGCAACATTACATGTTTTACCCAGTAGCAACATTACATGTTCTACCCAGTAGCAACATTACATGTTCTACCCAGTAGCAACATTACATGTTCTAAACGAAGATATAAAACACATTAGTCTTAATGGTATAAAAATGCAGCATTAAACAGATTTAAATTCCAACCAATAGTGCTATGTCTAGTCATAGACTTAAGCCTATCACATTCTCAATTGTTCAATGTTGTGGAAAACATGAAAGTTTTCGAGTCAAATACAAATGACACAAAAATAATACAGGTATTTCAGGATATCCATTTTCATAGTGTGTGCGTGTATGTATATGTGTGTCTATGCATCTATGCAAGATGGAGAGAGGAGGGGGGTGAGAGAGAGGTAATAAAAGCCAAACTCTGAGAGAATATTGTGTGTGGGCTGAGCCAATCTTCTGGCTCTCATTAAAAATTCTAAACTTAAAAGCATTTTCTTTGATTTTGTTATGAAGTGTAGTTTGCTACCACTTTTCTCAAGCAAAAATCAACACACCCACAAAAAGCCAGTATTTTGGCAGTTTAAGCTTCATGTTTTCCAGACATGGCAATTTTTCTTTCAGGAAAATCAAGTACAAGCCTTGTTAATCTGGCCATGATATGCTGCTAATCGATCAGGCTGAATGATTTCTCCTGTACATATTGCGCCGCTTTGTAATCAACATCCGGCGCCTGCCACGTGTGTGTAGTCATCGTTTGGTCATTTGAAGTCATGGTCTAGCGCCAAAATATCTGGACGCGATGTGGGATACATCAAACAGTAGGCCCAGTTGAACACCAGTCTCCACACATCGACCCACACATCTGCAAGTCTCCACACATGGACCCACACATCTGCAAGTCTCCACACATGGACCCACACATCTGCCAGTCTCCACACATGGACCCACACATCTGCCAGTCTCCACACATGGACCCACACATCTGCCAGTCTCCACACATGGACCCACACATAATCAAGTCTCCACACATGGACCCACACATAATCAAGTCTCCACACATGGACCCACACATCTGTAAGTCTCCACACATGGACCCACACAATCTCTGTATGGACCTGCTGCACGTGAGGTTTGATGGAAACCGGAAGTTGTTAGCGCTATAATTAGAAACTTCCCGCAACACGAACTGCTACAGACACCCCCCCCTCCGTCCCCCCCCCCCCCCCCCCGCCGTCAACCAAGAAAATAGGCGCCAAGTTTGGCACCCCTGACAGCTGACGTAAGGCCGAGAGAAGTTGACAGAAAACAAAACAACAAACGCCAGTACTTGAACGTTTTTCTGTTTTCCTACAGTTAAAAACATCAGCAGTAAGTATGGACGCTCAGTTTGGGTACGGATATAGTAAGAAGGAAAACTTTTCTTACAAAAATCTATAAAAAGGTAATCGTGACCGGATGTCATGCACTGACATTCAAAGTTCCCTGAGTTGAATGCCAGTATGTAAGGTGCAAAGTTCCCTGAGTTGAATGCCAGTATGTAAGGAGCAAAGTTCCCTGAGTTGAATGCCAGTATGTAAGGAGCAAAGTTCAACCAACCAAAGTTTAAGATGCGACCATCACAAACGTGTGCTCTTTTACTCCCTCGCTGCTACAGCAGCATGTTGTTGTAGCTATGGACATCATACAAGTAGAGGCTACAAACATCATACAAGTAGAGGCTACAAACATCATGCAAACATCATGCAAGTAGAGGCTACAAACATCATACAAGTAGAGGCTACAAACATCATACAAGTAGAGGCTACAAACATCATACAAGTAGAGGCTACAAACATCATGCAAGTAGGCTGCAAACATCATACAAGTAGAGGCTACAAACATGATACAAGTAGAGGCTACAAACATCATACAAGTAGAGGCTACAAACATCATGCAAGTAGAGGCTACAAACATCATACAAGTAGAGGCTACAAACATCATACAAGTAGAGGCTACAAACATCATGCAAGTAGAGGCTACAAACATCATACAAGTAGAGGCTACAAACATCATACAAGTAGAGGCTACAAACATCATACAAGTAGAGGCTACAAACATCATACAAGTAGAGGCTACAAACATCATACAAGTAGAGGCTACAAACATCATACAAGTAGAGGCTACAAACATCATACAAACATCATACAAGTAGAGGCTACAAACATTATACAAGTAGAGGCTACAGACATCATACAAGTAGAGGCTACAAATATCATGCAAGTAGGGCTACAAACATCATACAAACATCATACAAGTAGAGGCTACAAACGTCATACAAGTAGAGGCTACAAACATTATACAAACATCATACAAGTAGAGGCTACAAACATCATACAAGTAGAGGCTACAAACATCATACAAGTAGAGGCTACAAACATCATACAAACATCATACAAGTAGAGGCTACAAACATCATACAAACATGATACAAGTAGAGGCTACAGACATGATACAAGTAGAGGCTACAAACATCATACAAACATCATACAAGTAGAGGCTACAGACATGATACAAGTAGAGGCTACAAACATCATACAAACATCATACAAGTAGAGGCTACAAACATCATACAAACATGATACAAGTAGAGGCTACAAACATACAAGTAGAGGCTACAAACATCATACAAGTAAAGGCTACAAACATCATACAAGTAGAGGCTACAAACAGCATACAAGTAGAGGCTACAAACATCATACAAACATCATACAAGTAGAGGCTACAAACATCATACAAACATGATACAAGTAGAGGCTACAGACATGATACAAGTAGAGGCTACAAACATCATACAAACATCATACAAGTAGAGGCTACAGACATGATACAAGTAGAGGCTACAAACATCATACAAACATCATACAAGTAGAGGCTACAAACATCATACAAACATGATACAAGTAGAGGCTACAAACATACAAGTAGAGGCTACAAACATCATACAAGTAAAGGCTACAAACAGCATACAAGTAGAGGCTACAAACAGCATACAAGTAGAGGCTACAAACATCATACAAGTAGAGGCTACAAACATCATACAAGTAGAGGCTACAAACATCATACAAGTAGAGGCTACAAACATCATACAAGTAGAGGCTACAAACATCATACAAGTAGAGGCTACAAACATTATACAAACATCATACAAGTAGAGGCTACAAATATCATGCAAGTAGAGGCTACAAACATCATACAAACATCATACAAGTAGAGGCTACAAACATCATGCAAGTAGAGGCTACAAACATCATACAAACATCATACAAGTAGAGGCTACAAACATCATACACAGTGCCGGCGCCAGGTTATTTAGCGCCCTAGGCAAAACTTATTAAAAGCTCTCCCCCCCCCCCCGCAAGTTTTTTCGTGCCCCTGTATTATCACAGGCGTAGCGACCCTTTCCGGCGCCCGGGGACAAACTTTCGAACTGCCCCCCCCTTACCCTCAAACATTCGATTTGCACCCCCCCCCCCTAAAATTTCAATTTGTTTTTCCAATCCATTTTGGCGCCCCCCTACGGACATCGCCCTAGGCGACCGCCTAGTTCGCCTTATAGGTAGCGCCGGCCCTGATCATACAATTAGAGGCTACAAACGGTGGTAAAAAGTCCGTCTATATCAAGATATACACTGCGAATAATTTCATTGTCCAGTCGATAGAATGAGCGAATGCTTTCATTGATGTGAGTAAATAAAAGATCAGAAGAAGTAATAACAGATGGAAGTACTTAACTTAAAAAGTGACGCTCATGGTTTGAAAGATATTTAATGAAGCACTCTATCGATTTATTGACGTGGATTGCGACAATGTCCACATATTCATTACAGCGATAATCCTCCTAATCCATCACTTTCAGCACTCATCTCCTTTACAGTCGCTAACCATTAGATTATTTAGATACGCCTACTCTCCATTGTTTTTTACTGTAGCACATGCTCGCAGTTTTAGCCATTTACCAGCCAAATATATCATTCCAGACTTTATTTTTTCCATTTATACATTTATTTGATTTGATTATGGGATTGGTAATTTATTATCTAGTATTTCTTATATTGTGGTAACACATAGGAGGTCAATGGAATGGGTGCCTTATTAGTTTTAAGCCCCAACTGTAAATATTATATATATATATATATATATATATATATATATATATATATATATATATATATATATATATATATATATATATATATATATATATATATATATATATATTCCAGTCTATTAGGATCGCATATGTAGGCTTAACACAAGCAAAAAAACAAAGAACAAAAATGGATGTACTTACCTGAGGGGCCTTGTCATGCGTGACAGCGGTGTAAACTATCCAGTTTGTCTCCCAGTGGAAGCACCATTGCTCTCACTAGCTACACGCTTGTCTGGGTGTCAACTTTTGACTGGCATCAGCCATAGCACGAGATTCTCACTTCAGTGGGTGCGAATACAGGTGATGATATCTCTAAGTCAGTCAAGCGTTGCTGTCTGCTTTGATAACGTTACCAAGTACTGTGCGATTTGTTTGAGAGAAGGAATCGTTGAACTACGACCTCACTATAGATCAACCTACATATTAGATGACCTCACACATTATAAGAGCCCACACAACAAATAATCTCACACATTTTATGAGCCCACACAATAGATGACCTCACACTTTATAAGAGCCCAGACAACAAATGACCTCATAGAATTTACGCGCACACTCAAAAGACCTACACATTGAAAGACCTCACACAATAGAATACCTGACTCCGCATAATACATTACCTCATAGAATTCACATTCTAACATTATAAATGACCTCCCAGAATAAATGACCTCACAGAATACATGACCTTACAGAATAGATGACCTCACAGAAAATATGACCTCACAGAATACATGACCTTACAGAATACATGACCTTACAGAATAGATGACCTCACAGAAAATATGACCTCACAGAATACATGACCTTACAGAATACATGACCTTACAGAATACATGACCTTACAGAATAGATGACCTCACAGAATACATGTCCTCATAGAATATATGACCTCACAGAAAATATGACCTCACAGAATAAATGACCTCATAGAATAAATGACCTCACAGAATACATGACCTCATAGAATATATGACCTAACAGAAAATATGACCTCACAGAATAAATGACCTCATAGAATATATGACCTAACAGAAAATATGACCTCACAGAATAAATGACCTCATAGAATAAATGACCTCACAGAATAAATGACCTTACAGAATAAATGACCTCACAGAATACATGACTCCACAAAACCGGATGTGTAGAGAATCGGATACAGTGTATTAACTTTGATACTGAAAACATTTAGCTGAGATCTGGTGAGACACCGACCCTCACACAAACGTTGTGTAGCATTATATAACCAACTGAGATCTGGTGAGACACCAACCTTCACACAAACGCTGTGTATCATTATATAACCAACTGAGATCTGGTGAGACACCAACCCTCATACAAACGTTGTGTAGCATTATATAACCAACTGAGATCTGGTGAGACGCCAACCCTCACACAAACGCTGTGTATCATTATATAACCAACTGAGATCTGGTGAGACGCCAACCCTTATATAACCAACAGACTCAGTTCTCAACCACACAACACCAAAACTGTATAACCCGACCCTACCCGCTTACAGATATGGAAACGACTGTTCAAAATGGCCAAAAGGTTTATGTCACAATGTGATATTGACATGTGATGTCAACACGTCAAAAGGTTTATGTCACAATGTGATATTGACATGTGATGTCAACACGCCAAAAGGTTTATGTCACAATGTGATATTGACATGTGATGTCAACACGTCAAAAGGTTTATGTCACAATGTGATATTGACATGTGATGTCAACACGTCAAAAGGTTATGTCACAATGTGATATTGACATGTGATGTCAACACGTCAAAAGGTTATGTCACAATGTGATATTGACATGTGATGTCAACACGTCAAAAGGTTTATTATGTCACAATGTGATATTGACATGTGATGTCAACACGTCAAAAGGTTTATGTCACAATGTGATATTGACATTTAGAACAGTTGGCCAATGTGACAACAATGTGATAAAAAATTGAGAGTAATGTAATTTAGATGTGTAATCATTTCTTAAGGTGTAATGTAAGCTGCAGAATAAGATAATTTAGGGGATCAACAAAGTGTATAATCTTAGATAATTGATAAAAGTAGACGAGTATATAGGTTAACTGTAAACTAGTATATAGGTTAAAAGTAGACAACTGTATACGTTAACTATAGACTAGTGTGCAGAATGAATGTATACAAAGGAAAGCTCTGGATTGAATGATATAGTTGCCATTGTGCTCAAAGTGTGCTCATTGGTTGACTTCATGGCGGAATGTAATTTATGCCAGGAGATTAAATAGGCAGACGTCTTCATGTTTTGGACAAGATTATAAGCACTCGATTGTAAGGGGACTAGTTGTCCCCCAGGCAAAAATTTTGTTTTTCATCGACAACGTATTAGTTTAATCCATGTCGTGTGGCCCACTTTTGTTTAATCCATGTCGTGTGGCCCACTTTTGTTTAATCCATGTCGTGTGGCCCACTTTTGTTTAATCAAAATGGCAATGGTCCTCTAAATGTGGTCTACAGCTATGGTACTTTAAATGTGGTCTACAGCTATGGTCCTCTAAATGTGGTCTACAGCTATGGTCCTCTAAATGTGGTCTACAGCTATGGTACTTTAAATGTGGCCTACAGCTATGGTCCTCTAAATGTGGTCTACAGCTATGGTCGTCTAAATGTGGTCTACAGCTATGGTCCTCTAAATGTGGTCTACAGCTATGGTCCTCTAAATGTGCTCTACAGCTATGGTCGTCTAAATGTGGTCTACAGCTATGGTCGTCTAAATGTGGTCTACAGCTATGGTCCTCTAAATGTCGTCTACAGCTATGGTCCTCTAAATGTGGTCTACAGCTATGGTCGTCTAAATGTGGTCTACAGCTATGGTCGTCTAAATGTCGTCTACAGCTATGGTCGTCTAAATGTGGTCTACAGCTATGGTCCTCTAAATGTCGTCTACAGCTATGGTCCTCTAAATGTGGTCTACAGCTATGGTCGTCTAAATGTGGTCTATAGCTATTTGTCAAGTAGCTTGACAGGTTTGCACCATGTTTGTTACAGGAAAAGGTACAGGAAACGTAACAGGTCTCTGCGGGTTCAGCAGTTATAAATCAAGATTGTATCAGAAACTGTTCTTTGATTTGATACTTGATAGCTCATATTTCTTGACATCTAGTGTCACTACTGATTGTTGAAACTTTAATCCACGCGGATTACAGTCTTTTGCCTCTAATTTAATATCCTATTGTATGATGTTAAAACTAGGATTTTTATGGATTATCAGCTGTATTCAAGTGTCTGAACTGAGAACATATTTACAAATATACACTTGGTTAGTTTTTCTTATATATTACATACATTATGTGTACACACACACACACACATATATATATATATATATATATATATATATATATATATATATATATATATATATATATATATATTGATATAGGCCTTTATATATATATATATATATATATATATATATATATATATATATATATATATATATATATATATATATATATATTGATATAGGCCTATTTATGTATGGAGAGAGCACGTCACTATACCCGACCCGACACAATTTTTTTACACTGAAGACAAAGCCCAAAAGGAATAAAGGTTACATTTTAACAAGTAATAATTCGCAAACAAACTTGCCTCTGTGGGTAGTTAATTAATAGTTGCCGCGGCCTGTTATAGCTGCTTTTGTATGTTCGATACTAAGAATGGCTAAGTTACTGACCCAAAGGGCACATCTACAATTTTATCAAATATTATCATCATAATGGAGTGACTCGGGGCGCCCAACCGTATAGGCTACTAATGTCGAGGTGCTGGAGGACAACCCTTATTTTATTAAGTCATCGATTATCCCTATGGTATGGCGCTCATTAAAATAAGTATATGTGCCGTAGTGCTTTTGTCGGTCATTCTGTCATAGATCGAAACTGCCGAGAGAAATTAAATTTCGAGCACTTCTAACTGACTAATTCGTTTGAAACTTGGCACATGGGTCAGGGCACGATGACAATGCAATCTGACATCAAATTTGACTTCAAATGTTGTTTAATTAATTTTTTTAATGAGTTGAATAAAAGCTAGTAAAACAAATATATATATTGATCTATAGCAGGGGTCTCCAAACTTTTCAACCCGAGGGCCGCAATAACTATCAAATATCAGTTCGGGGGCCAGTTTCTTCTAATCGTCTATTTTTTGTGGTGTAGTGCCCCCCCCCCCCCCCCCCCAAATAACGTCTATTACCCCCCCCCCCCCCCCCAACGCAATATATACTTTATATAGAAATATATACAAATTTCAGCACAAACGAGGTCCAGGTTTGCTCTCAAATTATTCTTCACATATTTCAATTTAGAAAAATTTTATTTACACAAGTATGTTGTTCCGAAATATGAAAGGTACTTTGATGCGAATTTTTTAATATTAGGAAAGTCTTCCACGGGCAAAAACTTATAAAAACCCACCGCCCTTCTTTGAACTTGTCTCTAAGGATGTCATTGGCTTGCAATTCAATGACCTCCAGCTGTAGTTCATCTGCGCAAGCTGCCAAATTTGCTTCAATTGGGTTTTGAAACAGTCTCACTTCTTCTGCCTTTAAATCTACATCAGAAAACAGGTACTGAAACTACTGCAGCTGGAGGTCTTGGATGATCTCGCATGCAAATGACGTGGGGAACTCAGTTGCTGTTTCAGCCATGAAGATTTTGCACTGCTGAAAGTGCGTCAAGTTGTTAGCCTGTACTTGTTCCAAAAACATGAGAAGTTTGGATCTGAAGGCCTTAAGGTGGGTGTATAGATCAGAAACTAGATCTCTCTCTCTTGGAGTTTTAGGTTCAGAAAATTAAAATGACTAGTTATGTCTGCATTAGAGGCCTATTTCTATACCCACTCTTCATCAGACATTAGGCTGTGGCTTACCTTTACTTTCCATGAAGTCACCTATTTCCTTTCATAACGTAAATACTCTGCTCAGTGCTTTCTCGCAAATTAGCCATCTTAATGCTGTGAAATATGGTAAATATTGCGATTCCGTGGTGTTTTTTTTTTTGACATGTCTCTGATCTGTCTATGGTTGAGCCCAAGTGACAGTATGAAATAAACAGGATTCAGAACACTGTTAATGTCCAAAGCTCGCTGGTGAATAATACAGTGCAGGAACATTGAATTTTTAATTTGGTTGTAGGGAACTGCTTGTGTAGGGAACACAAGCAGTTGAGAGGTCGAACAGCTGTTTAGGGAACACAAGCAGTTGAGAGGTCGAACAGCTGTTTAGCGACTCATCCTTTGCATTTGAAAAATGGCGAAACTTGCTTGCATTTTTTGCTATTTGAGTCGCAATGTTTTCACCAATGTCTGTAACACGGCGGGCAATGGTATTTGCACCCAAAGCTACATTTTCAAATTGTTTTCAAT